TCGGGAGGGCATTTTCGGGGAAAACTTCGTCATTAAATATTATTGGCGTGTTGAATTCCAACAAAGAGGTTCCCCCCATATTCACGGCATGTTTTGGCTGAAAGATGCCCCAGCAGTGGACTTAACCAGTACAGAGTCAATTTCAACAGTTATAGCCTTCATTAACAAACATATTACAGTAGATGTCACAGACTCTGAATTAGCTCCGTATGTTGAATACCAAAAGCATCGGCATAAGGACATGTCATGTCTTAAAAAAGCCAATAAAAGTGGAAAAAAAGTTTGTAGATTCGGTATTCCATACCCTCCAATGCCCCAAACGGAGATATTGAGTCCACTGCCAGAGGAAACTCCGAACCTTGATTTTCACCAAGGAAATTTTAAGAAAATTCAAGACCTACTGAATTCTGATCAATCCTCTGATATGATTGATCACTTGAGCATATTTGAGAACTTTCTTTCGCACGAACAAGTGAGCCTCAATTACGAGGACTACAAATATGCAATTTCTTCTGGTTTAAAGAAACCACACATTTTTCTAAAAAGGTCATTTGCTGAAATTTGCATTAATGCTTATAATAAACACATCATTTCAATGCAAAGGGCCAATATGGATATCCAATACATTTTGGACCCTTATGCATGCTGTAGCTATATAATAAATTATATAAATAAAACCCAAAGGGGTATTTCAAAGCTTATGCGCGAGGCGGCAAAAGAAGTTCAAGGGGGCAATTACACGATTAGACAAAAGCTACAGCATATTGGTCACAAATTTATTTCTGGCACTGAGATATCTGCTCAGGAAGCCGTATATTGTTGTCTAGGAATTCCGTTGTCCGGAACTAGCAACAAATGTGTTCAAGTAAATACTTTCCCTCCAGAGCAACGAGTTCGAATGCTCAAATCCACAAGCATCCTACAAAATATGCATCAGGAGTCCACTGACATATTCGTCAAAGGATTGCTGGAGCGGTATGAACAAAGACCAACTGATCTTGAGGGCCTGTGTCTAGCCGATTTTGCAGCAAATTATGAATTTTCTAAAAACGGGAAAAGAACCTGCCAAAATAGAGATGATGAAGAGGACGAAGAAAATGAGGCACAAGTAGAAGTTTTTATCCCTCTCCGCGATAATAGTGGTTTTATTAGGGAAAGAACTAAGCCGTCCATTTTAAAATATATGAGGTTTAATATAAATACAGATAGGTCAAACTATTTTAGAGCATTAGCTATGCTGTTTTATCCGTGGAGAGATGAAGAGAAAGATTTAGTGAGCGTAAATTGCGAGGATCTTTATAATAATCATCAGGAGTTGGTAAATTCAAATTTCCAAAAATTCAATGCATTAGGAGATTTGGAAGACGCGCTTAGGAGGGCCATGGAAGCCGAAGAGAATAGGGAGGAAGGTGAAGAGGTAGTTGATGAGGCAATTGCTGAGGAGTTTAGGGCTTTAGCGATTCCAGAAATAAGTTCCCAGATAAATGTTTTGAACTTGAATGACCAGGCAGCGGATCAAGATAGAAGTATTCGATTAATTAAGCTTCCTCCTATTGTTTCCCTTAATATTTTAGCTAATTTGATTAGATCGCTTAATTTGAAGCAAAAAACCTATCTCACCCATGTTCTGCATAATGTGAGAAATAAGGCAGTTTTTTATGAGTTTGTAGGTGGCGGCGCAGGCGTCGGCAAGAGTAGAACCATATCTACCATTTTTCAGACCATTTCCCAGGAGTTTAATCGTAGACCAGGATCTAACCCAGAAACTGTTAAAGTTCTGCTGTGTGCTCCCACAGGAAAAGCTGCATTTGGTATTGGAGGTGCCACACTTCACTCAATGTTTTCTTTACCTCTCAATCAATCCAACCATGCTTTTAAACAATTGGGTCCAGATTTGTTAAATACCTTGCGTTCAAGATTTATTGATCTTAAAATTCTTATAATTGACGAAATTTCTATGGTCGGTGAAAAAATGTTTTCATATTTGGATATGCGTCTAAAACAAATATTTTCAAGGCCCGAGAGTCCTTTCGGTGGCATTTCTGTTATCGTGTTTGGCGATCTAAGGCAGTTATGTCCAGTAGGTGATCGTTGGATATTCAAATCCTCATCAGGAGCGCATAATCCATACAGTGCGATAGTTGGCTCTAGTCTCTGGGATGGCTTCAAGTTTTTCGAACTTACAGAGATAATGCGACAGCGAGATGACCAACCTTTTGCAACCGCACTAAATAACATGGCATCGGCCGTAATGACGTCAGAAGATATTCAATTGCTTAGGGACCGAATAGTTCACGGCAGTGAAGCACCAACAGATGCGATCCACTTATTTTATAGCAATAGCGAGACAGATAAGTACAATAAGGAGAAGCTATCATCGATTATGACTGCAGAATATACTTCAATAGCTTTAGACTCCATCAAAGCCGAGCATCTTAACCCAGACATCAAAACAAAATATCTGGACTCTGTTAAGAGTTTCAAAACTTCGAATACACAAGGCTTGTGCACTTCATTGGTTCTCAAAACCACGGCTAAATATATGATGACAGTCAATGTAGATACATCAGATGGTCTTGTTAACGGAGCCACTGGTGTTTTAATGCAGATAGATCTCAGCTCATCCAATACTCCCGAACTTCTTTGGATACATTTTCTCGAGGAAAGCGTAGGAGTTAACGCACGGTCAAAGCGCAGCCATAGTAACGAATCTTCTTGGACCCCAGTTCAGAAAACTACAAAAAGTTTTCAATACCATCAAAATGAACAAGTTACTATTGACCGAAAACAGTTTCCGATTGTAGCTGCTGAAGCTATAACTATTCATAAGAGTCAGGGAGCAACATACAGCAAAGTGGTCGTCCACACTTCATCCAATATGCAAAAAGAAGCATTGTATGTAGCTTGTAGTAGGGCCACCAGTGCGAACGGACTTTATATCGTTGGACCACTCATTCCTTCGAGACCCAAGCGGGACTGTCCTGTCGCGAAAGAGATGGAGAACTTGCGTTCCGCTAAGTTACTTCACACCCACTTCGATTGTTTACTCAATCCGTCCGAATTAAATATTTTCTTCCATAATACGGAAAGCTTGCACTGCCATTTTATCGATGTCTGTTCTGATCAGCTAATGCTCAAATCTTCTATTTTGTGCTTCGTTGAGGCTTCCACATACTCTAATGAAGCTTATAATATTCCTGGCTTTTCCACAGCAGTGCGGTTAGATTGCCAGTCCGTAGCCAGCGGAGCTAGACCGAAAAGAGGCATTCTAATATTCGTTAGGAATGAACTTTTGAATCATTGTAGTATTATTGAAAGTAATCGATATTATGCGGATTCCGGGAACTTATCATCTCCAGTGTTCGAGTATGCTTTGTTTAAGTACAAATCTGTCGGTTTTATTGTTATTTACAGAACCCCCACGTATCCGTTGCGAAAGTTCGAAGCAGAATTTGAGGTCTTATTTCAACGGCATCCATTTTTAGATAGAAATTCCGTAGTGTTAGGAGATTTTAATTTATGCCTTCGTACCCTTTCAGGTTGCTGTAAGAAAATTTATGAATTCCTTTCAGAAAGGAATTGTAGGTCATTGTTAGATTTGAACTCGTCCACAACCAATTGCGATACGCATATTGACTGGGCGTTTTCAAACATTTCCGATAGCAGGGCCACCGCGCGCACCTTTGAGACTATCTATAGTTATCATAGTGGAATTTTAGTTAATGTTAGAGAGGCAGAAGACTAAACTTTTTTGGTAATCAGGCATTAGTGTAAATATTTAATATTTTGTATTATTTAGCCGTATTCTGAATTATATTAATTCTTTAGTCTTTACCTTTGTTAAACCTTTTTTATTTTTATCCGTTTTATTATTTTGTTAATTAAGTTAAGGTTGAAATAGTTTTATTATTAATCATTTCTATGTATGTATATAGGTATTCTTGTTAGTTTAGATATTTTTTATTTTTTATAAAGGATTGGAATCCTTTTTTTAAATTTTTGGGGAATATGGAGCTTAAAAATGCTTTTAAAAGCAGCTCAAGTCGACTCGTAGGTCCCCAAGATTATATTTTGGCTAGAGTGACCCCATTGCATCGTGATGGCCTCCCCGTGGTGTTCCCTGGGTACCAATTTAATGTATTAAATTGGGAGCTAATTCGAGCGGCGTTTACGTATAAAATATATTTTATAACTTACATTCATGTATGTAGATCATAAGCTCACGTATATACTGACTGAGTACCGGGTATAAAGTAGAGCCGCGGCCTTTGCCGCGGCTCACAACGTTCCCCCTCGTTTTTGTTTGGGTTTCGTTGAATTTGATAGGTACAATTGAGCCAAAACCATTCAGTATATATTGGAAACTAGAACTAGAAACGCATAAGCGTTAAACTGTAATTATTTATAACATTAATTTAGATACCATATCAAATATGCCCTGACCCAAGATAAATAGTTCTTAAATTTCATCAGGCGCTGTCATAGTAGTATTCGTCATTTCCTTGTTGTTGTGTCGAAACGTGATCTTCTGGTCCTGCAGCATTTGCTTCTAATCCGAAGTCTCCACCGCCGTTGTTGAACTGTTGCCACGACTGCTGGCTGTGCGTCTGTAGATATAGATTGTCCCTTGCCCTTAACTGCCCAGTGGTGTCCGATACTATGCGATTGAGTTCCACAAGCGTCTGCAACAGCTGGTTGCCCTCACTCTGAACCGATTGGGGACCGGGTTCCTGCTGTCGCTGTAATCCCAGCATTGTCATTATCCGACGAACGTGCGTCTTTGATTGGACGATGTGCTTCGCGAGAATGCCGCCCCGCACATCCGCATCGGCTGTATCGATTAGGATTTGTTCCAGCTCCTGATGCAGCTTTAGGTTTTTTTTCTCGAGGTTCTTGGCCCGATCCTCCAACCTCTGACGATCATCCGGCTTAGCCACGGCCTGTATTGCTCTCAAGAGCTCCCCGCTCAGCTGCTGAATGATATCCTTCAGCCTACTGACCAATCGCAATCGCTGATCCAATCGCAGCCCTGGCTTTTTCATGACTGGCAGAGTCCGATCCGCAAAGCGAAGAGTTCTCATGGTCTCGGATACATTGGCGTCGGAGGAACTCACGCAGGCAATAAGCAGTCTAATGGACCTGCCGCCCAACGAGTCCTGCAGCAGGCTCGTCAGCAACGACTGTCCGTAGGGAATGTATTCGGGCGCAATTTCCCCATAAGCCAAGGTGTTCAACACGTTGCCAAGGGCCACGAGACCCCCTTTGGATCGGTCAGCATCGTTGCCAAAAATCCAGCATCCCGAAGCGGCCAGATCTACAAAATTGAGCTTGGTGGTGGTTTCAGAGGTAGGGCCTCCTCCACCCAACTTCCTGGCCACCAATGTTAATGTCAATATGGAATGGGATTCGGAAGGCTTCTCGCCCACTGCCCGTTTGGCAAAGCCCCGCATCAGATGATCGGTTACCTCCTGGGCGGAGCTGACCTCCAGTTCTGTCAGACCGGGCCCCGCAAGGCGGCTGCTCAAATTATTTCTTGGCAAGAGGAGGTCAAATAGCTCCTCCTGGTAGATCTTCACGAACGAACAGCTCACACGGAAAGTGTACGACTTCTTCAGAGTTGAAATGTACTGGAAGAGGTAGTGCACGGCTCGCGGAATCAAGCCCACTTTGTCGTCCATCACACCATTGAAGTCCGTGCCCATGGTGTAGGTCTTGCCGCAACCCTTTTGGCCGTAGGCCAAGATGGTCACGTCGAATCCCTGAAGAAGTCTCTTCAACCTCGTCTGGACACAGGCCTCGAAAAGATCCTTCTGGGTATCCCTTTGGTCGAAAACATAGTTAAAAGCGAAGCTTTCATGGAAATCCACCGACACATGGGGCAATCCGTCCGGTGTTCGCTTCACCGCAGTGCTGCTTTTACATTCCAACTCCATGCTGTTCATTGGACGCAAGCGCACTGCTACAGACATCGGGGTATCAAAAAAGTGGGACATCTTCGAATCGAACAGCGAAATTTCGATCGGTAAAATAAACTTATTTTTGGTTGGAGTAACAAATTCCAAATGAATACTTATTCCAAATGAATACTTAACTTTCTAACAGATGGCTCGACTTGTTACAATAGGGATACTATGTGAGACTAATACCAAAATGTCTTATTTGTATTTTGACATAGATTACAAATGTTGTGTGAGGTAAGAATCAAGCGAAAAGAAAAATTTGCCTAAAACAAACAATTTAACAAATTAGAAGAAAAAAAAGAAGTTTAACATCTCTCCCCGACGGGGAATTGAACCCCGGTCTCCCGCGTGACAGGCGGGGATACTGACCACTATACTTTCGAGGATGTTGAAAGCATCTTGCCAAATGCTACACTTGAAAATGGTTAGAATATACTCTTAGTTCTCTTTATCGTGTGGTTCTAGGCAGAGTAGCGGGACCTTCAGTTTTGGTTTTGCGTTTAATTTCGTATTTAATATATTTAGACAGGGCTCGAATCCCCCTCAAAAGGTGTTAATGCCGGAGGGGGAGGATTCTTGATGTGTTTACAAATTATTTTTGACGCGTTTTAAGTCGCTTCGGGACTGAGGACTGCCTGTATATGTGTGTATCTATGGGAGTGTGCAGGAATTTATGAGCGAGAGTGGGTAGATTTATGCGCAGCGCTGCGTGTAATTATAATTTATCGTTGTTGAAATTCCATAAAACTTTAACACCTCTCACCTTGGGACCGCGAAGTGCAGCAGAGAGGAGAACAGAGAAGAACAGAAACCGAAACGAACCCGGGAAGGAAACATAATGAGCAAAGATGGTGGAAGAAGAGGGCCTGTTGCATGGTCAGTATCCCCGCCTGTCACGCGGGAGACCGGGGTTCAATTCCCCGTCGGTGAGAGATGCAAAAATTTTTTTTTCTTCGCTTTTTATACCCGATACTCAAAATGAGTATTGGGGTATATTAGATTTGTGGTAAAAGTGGATGTGTGTAACGTCCAGAAGGAATCGTTTCCGACCCTATAAAGTATATATATTCTTGATCAGCATCAATAGCCGAGTCGATTGAGCCCTGTCTGTCTGTCCGTCCGTCCGTCTGTCCGTCTGTCCGTCCCCTTCAGCGCCTAATGCTCAAAGACTATAAGAGCTAGAGCAACGATGTTTTGGATCCAGACTTTTGTGATATGTCACTGCTCCAAAAATATTTCAAAACTTTGCCCCGCCCACTTCCGCCCCCACAAAGGGCGAAAATCTGTGGCATCCACAATTTCGACGATACGAGAAAACTAAAAACGCAGAATCGTAGATGACTATATCTTCTAAAAATCAAAATCTGAACCAGATCGTATAATTATTACAGCCAGAATCACGAAAACAATTTCACTCTTTCTCGCTCTGTCTCACTCTAACACACAGGTTTCATGGTCGGTTTTGCCAATTGCAAAATATGAGTTCAAGGATCTCAGAACCTATAATAGCCAGAGCAACCAAATTTGGTATCCACACTCCTGTGATATCGGACCTTGACCGTTTCCTGTCCAAATTTCGCCACACCCCCTTCCGCCCCCGCAAAGGACGAAAATCTGAGGCAACCACAATTCTCAGAGACTATTAAGGCTAGAGTAACCAAATTTGGTGCACACACTCCTTTAAGATGTCACTATAAAACGTATATCTCAGAATTTCGCCCCACCCCCATCCGCCCCCACAAAGGACGAAAATCTGTTGCATCCACAATATTGCAGATTTGAGAAAACTAAAAACGCAGAATCATAGATAATGACCATATCTATTAGATTGCTGAATCTGGATCAGATCAGACCATTTTTTTTAGCCAAAAGGAACAAATCAATTTGCAGTGGCTACGCAGCGCCCGACGGCACGCTCAGACTGATTTTCTGTCTCTCTCGCACGCACTCTTTGTCGTGTCGTTAAATATTAGCGGCGTCTGCCGGAGGAGAGCCATACTGACTTAGTATCGGGTATAACCGTAGAGTTGCGGTGTCCGCAGCAACTCACAACGTTCCCCCTCGTTGTGACTAGACTGCAAGGTAGGAAACTGTTGCTGGTCTCCAGGAAGTGTGGTAGAGTAAGCATATTCCACTTGATTATTTAAGGGGACATGACCCGTCCTGTGCGTATTAATTGCCTTCTTTGCGGAGCCCATTGATCGGCGTAGAAACTCCTGATACCATTGGCATCCTTTATAACTGGCCATATGGCTTCCAGAGCAGTGAATGCAGGTTGACTGTGCATCTAGGGGGCGTGTGCATTGTGAGGTTTGGTGATTTTCACCGCATCTGGCACAGTTGTGATGTCTGCGGCAGTATTTGGCTGTGTGGCCGAAATCCTGGCATCGACGACATTGAGCAATCTCTGTGGATTTTCGCATCCTTTCAATCCTTATTTTTTGGCGGCAAAGGGTCTTGACTTGGTAAATTTCGTTAATTTTTGCACAAGGCTTAATATTAATGAAAAAAATATTAAGTTTTTCGTCGTTTAGGGTGCTATGATGTAGGTCTCTTACAACAATTCTATGAGGCTTTTCAGTCTGCAATTGGTATGTGTGGAATTCTATTCCAATGGCATCGAAACGATCCACAATTGCTCTATAGGTATCACTGTCTTTGGGGAGGATTCAGGTTTCCCCCTGGTTAGCTTTGACGACAACGTTATTCAAATTTGCAACGTCCTTTATGACATCTATTGCCGCGCCGGGCAACGCCTCCAAATCTGGGGCCGTACGTTTGATAAGCCTCCCGTGTTCAGTACGCCTCCCGTGGTTTTGTTCTTTAAATCGGTTTTATTTGTTTCATTTATTTTATTCATTTATTCATTTACAATGTCGGGCGGGTGTTAAACTACGAGAGCTAGCGCTAAAAAACTTGTACCGCTTCAGTGCTTTTTCCGCTGCCTTTGTTTTCGTTCTTCCTTTTTTCTTGCCTTCTCCTTTTCTCGCCTATAGCTGCCGTTCGCCCTGATTAACCCTTTGCTCAGCGCTGTTAATGTTTGTGCTGTTAACGCAGTGATATTCAGGGCTGTTAGGCGCAGTGATATTCAGGACTGTTAGGCGCAGTGATATTTAGAGCTGCCGCTGCGGTTTCTGCCGTAACAACCCCTTCGCAAACTTCGTCGCTTGTCGTGATGTTTGCCAAACTTCTGGTTACGCCTTGATCCATTGTGGGTTCGTTGTCCTCACGTCTAACTTGGCCAGTTTAACTATTGGCCGAGTTAGCAGTCCAGATGCAGTGCGGATCACCGCGCTTCGGGCGATCCCGTCCTTGGCCACTCGAAGGTCCATGATGACGCCTTTCCTCCACTGCACCTTGGGGCTTGTTTCGTCCGCTAGAACCACGACGTCTCCGAGTTGGATAGGGTTGGTTGGGGGTCCATGCCATTTGGTTCGTGTCGTCAGGCACGGTAGGTACTCCTTCAGCCATCGTTTTCTGAAGCTGTCCACGATCTGCTGTAGTATGCTCATATTAAAGTAAAGTAAAGTATTCATTATTTCGAATACCCACTGTACCGACGGTACTTAAAGAATACACACTGTAACACTTTGTTTCAGTGTTTACGTAACAATAAAGTCCCAGACATTCTGGGTGATCGTATTACGATTCACTCAAGAATGCCTCGAGCGACCCAAGTGCAGCGTCAGCATGTTCCCATGACTTGACGGCACTAATATACATGCATACACACATATATCTTCCCTCGCGCTCTCGCTGCCAACAGCGCTGAGCATATACATATTAACATATAAGAGATAAGAACACATAGTTCTGCCGCTCCGCTGCCGGCGTCACTGGCAGCGCAGCTCCGCGGCTTTTGGCTTACAAAAGCCCAAACCACAATTGTAAAACAGAGAACAGAAATCACAATAAAACAGATCGGAGGGTTGAGCCCCATCGATCCAACAAAAAGGATTTGAACATTTCATTTTACATGGCGACCGTGACAGGACATATCGAGTCGTGACAGGACTCGATATGTCCTACGCGATGGATCAATCTAAGGATTGAGAAAAAAAAAGAGAGAAATTTTTAAAAAAAAAAAAGTGTTAAAATTTTGAAAGACAAAGAATGGCCGAAAAAAAAAAAAAATATAATACCATGTGATTTTGTTTTAAAAAATCGGACCAAGTCAAAAGAAAATTGGAAAAACTATTGAAACAGTGTTGTCCCCAGTGCCAGTGCCAAGAAAAAAAAAAACCCAGCAGAAAGCCAAACCAGCCGTTTCGCCAGACCCATGCACGACTGCCGACGATATTACGCACAAACCCATGTTGCATTATAATTTATACCCTTAAATTTGGCGGCTACAATGCGGCCAGGAATACATAATACCCAAGGAGATATAACAGCCCGCGCCACAAAGAGCGTACACGCAATATAAAAACCTGTGCGAAGACCAGCACCGGCCCCACTAGACCCAGCAAGGACCAATAATATAAGTGCGAGTGGCATAGGACCGCTCCTTGCACCGTCGATGGACAGTAACACAACCACTCCAGCAGCAGAAAATGCACCAGACTTCGCCGACGCTGCTCCTACCGAGCAAAGGGACGCACTCAGCCTACAAGAGGCATTAGTGTATCCAAACGATGGACCACGCCCACTCACAATAGCTGAGTACAGGGCACGACAAGAAAAACGCCCAAGGAAGAAAACAAAGAGGGGCGGCCGGATCAAACGGCTGCTTCAACAACGACGTCTGGAGCGGGACCTGGAAAAAGCATATACAAATGAAGAGGACCGACAACGCTGCCAAGAGCGCATCAAGGAAATCAATAAACAACTTCGCACTGGTGCGAAGTAACGCAATTGAGCTGCGGAAATGCCATGCCTCATATTGCCAATAATTATAATATTCTATCTCAAGTTGAAGCACCCTTAAAGTGCAACTTGAAAATACTAACCTCTGTTAGGCTATTACTAAAACCATGTGATCGATATTGAATTATATAATGAAAAACCTG